CGCTTGTCAGTATTTCCATTTCTGTTTATTGTCGAACATTACTCAGTTGTGGGGCTAAACCCGTTATCCATCCATCAGTTGATGGACCTTTGGGTTGCCTCTCCTTTTTGGCTATTGTTGATAATGCTGCTGTGAACATTTCTGTCCGAGTTTTGGTGTAAACATGTTTTCATTTCTTTGGGGAACATACTTAAGAATGGAAATGCTGTCGTATGGGTCATACGGTAACTCTGTTTAACCTTTTGAGGAACTGCCATACTGTTTTCCAGAGTGGCTGCACCATTTAACGTTTTTACCCAAAGTGTGTAATTCTCCTAATTCCTATGCATTCCTGTCACGAGACTGGTCATCAGCTCTCCTGGTAGGTGTGCACTGGCATCTCATTGTGGTTTTGCTTTGCATTTTTCTGATGACTAAGAATGTTGGGGGTCTTTTCATGTGCTTCTTATCTATTTGTGTATCTTCTTTGAAGACCTGTCTGTTCAGGGTTTTGCCCATTTTGAAATTGGATTATCTTTTGACGATTGAATTGTCAGAGTTCTTTTTGTATCCTGGGTGCAAGTCTTTGATCAGATGTAGGATTTTCAAGTATTTCCTCCTGTTCAGGAGCTTGCCTTCTTACCTCCTTGATGGTGTCTTTTGAAGAGTAGAAGTTTTTAACATTGATGTGGTTCAGTTAATCTATTTCTGTCTTTTATTGTCCTATCTGTGTTTTCTTCTAAGAATTGTGTAGTTTTAGCTCTTTCATTTTGAGTTAATTTTATATATATTGTATGAGGTGGAGGTCGAATTTTGTTCTTTTGCATGTGGATATCCAGTTGTCCCAGTACCATTTGTTAAAAAGACTATTATTGTCTCATTCAGTTATTTGACACTCGTACTGAAAATCAATTGACCGTAAATGTGAGGGTTTCTTTTAGATTCTCAGTGGTGGTGCATCGATCTATGTCTGTCCTATGCCAGTACCAATTCAGGTGTTACGAGAACTCTTTCCGAGTCATCTTGCATATTACCAGTTGTTTTACGTAGTAATAAAAAGTCAGTGTCGTGGAACGTCTGCAACTCCACTTCTGTGGAGATCTGCTGCGTCCTGAAGGGGCCTGTGGCCAGCTTATGCCTTGCTGACTCTGTGACATGACAGAAAGTAGGCTTGCGAAGATAAAGTCCATTCCTTCCACCCCTCATTCAGACCTTTAGTTTCTCACCCAGTGCCTCCCACTTCACTCCAGTTTCCATCAAATCATGGTCACGGGATCTGCTGACTCAGATCTGTTGCATTCATTATAATTCATAGACTCATCCATAGATTTCACTATCAAGAGGCAAAGGATTAAATCTGGAGAAGATTAATTCAACCTTCCTCTTTGGAAGCCTCTCTAATCCATCATCTTGTGATTCACGATGAAGTCCTCTTTTGGCTTGGTTCTTGTGTGTAACACTGGTGCCGATCTTGTTCTTGGTGTAGATCCTGCCTTCTCAGCTCCCTGTGTCTACCTCCTTTTCCTCAAAAAGAGAGATGCCTAGCTGTATTCTATAGCTTAATGCATAATTAATCAAATAAATATTTCATCCCATCTAAGGAAAATTATTCAAGAGTACAGCTGTTAAAAATTAAATAATATTCAGTCAGTTTACCAGAAACAGATAACAGATCAGTAATTTGAATTTCAAAAGGTCAAAG